GTATCATTGCTATTATTGTTACTATCATTATCATTATAATCATTAGTGTTATCATTATTTCCATTATTATTATCCTTAAAATCACTATTATCATCATCATCATCACCATCATCATAGTAGTAGTAATAGTAGTAGCAGCATTACTGTTTTCATTATTATCATTTCTATTACCATTATCATTATTATTGTTATCATTATCATTATCACCATCATTCTTAGTAATGATATTATCATTATTATTATTATAAATTTTATTATCATTATCATTATCATTATTATAAATTTTATTATCATTATCATCATTATTATCATTATTATTATTATAAATTTTATTATCATTACCATCATTATCATTATTATTATTGTTGTTGTTGTTGTTATTATCATAACAATAATAATCCTCACTGTTATTGTCAGCATTATTCTCATTATCATCATTATTAATTTTTTGTATTATTATTATCATCATTATCAATATCATTATCATTATTGCTGTTGTTATTAGTATTACTATTATTGCTATATTGATTTTTTTCTTTGTTGTTAATAATATCATTGTCGTTATTACGATTATTATTATCATTATGATTACTATCACTATTACTGTAACTAATTTTGTCATTACCATTACTATTGCTATTATTATCATTACCATCATTACCATTATCATCATCATCATCATCATCATCATCACTACCATCATCATAATAATTCTGATGATACAATTGATAATGATAATAATATTAAGAATGATAATGAACATGCTAATAATAAATGTTATCATCACTATGATCGTCTTCATCATTATTGTTGTTTTTATCATTGTTATCAATATTATCATTAGTATCATCATTTTGTGATTATTATCATTATTATTATAATTATTATCGTTATCATTATTATTATTATCATTATCATTATTATGTCTTATTATCGCTATATCATTATTGTAACAATTATCATCATCATTATCATCTTTATGGTAATTTATATTTTCTTGTCTTTACTGTTGTCGTTACTAGCATTATCATTATTATCATTTTCATTACCATTGCCGTTATTGGTCATTAGTATTAACATATTCCCCGTCATTTGCCTAGACCTACCTTTTAGAATTCATTCCAACAACAGCACAAAAAGCAATTCAGACTTCGGTACAGAGAGGCGAGATTAGCCTGCGTGTTTTTTCGGGCCTCAGTGTTAGGCCGAGAGAGCTGCTTGCTCCAAGGTCTCTCTCTATAAGTACTTACTTAGACCTTGGCTCGCTGAGAGCACAGCAAAACCCGCCTGTTTCGTTTGTCTTTTCAATTTGCCTTTTTCGCTCTTTTCATTTTGCGGTTTTCGTTCTTCTCTTTCTCAGTTGTATGATATGTCTGCCTCTTCTTGACCTCATATATCATCATTCATTTTTGTCTTTTGTTTGTCTTTCTCTCTTTTTGCACATACGAACAAGAATAATTCATTTCGCCTCTCATTTCGTTCGACACCATAGATGGTAAGGGTCGTCCCAGTTCTCTCATAGAAACCCCTTCTCAAACGTGACTAAATAGATGAATGAATGGAACACACGCATACAGACACAGATGTATGTACCAGACTCGAAACAAGTTATTTTCAAAAGCCGTAACTTGCGCGGTAAAATCTTCAGTTTGTCCGAAAATGCGCGGTTCGTTCTTGCCTGACCATTGTTCTGTATTATGAAGCGTTAGTAATGGATGACACATTATTTACACTGTTTCTACGCTATTAAAGTGGGTTGCCATTGATAGCACAACCTGGTATGCTTCAGTTTAATTGATGAATCTCTTAGGTCTGCAAAAATGAATTGGTTTGGGCCAATCCACGCTGCGCGCTAAACAGGCACTTCGACAACTTTGCGCGGCCAAAAACTAAGAAAGGGAGAACTGCGCGCTGAAAACTGAAAAGCGCGCAACCAGCTGTGCGCGCAATATTTTGCGCTCGAACCACAAAGTTTCCACTACATACGGAAGCCCAGGCACTCACGTGTATATAGTGGGAGGGGGGGGGGGTGTAGGACTGAAAGTGAGAAGTAAGGAATGACTTAAGGGAGATTTGGGAGAGAAAGGGTGGCAGAGAGCGATAGAGGGAAAGCGAGAGGGAGAGTGAAAGGAAAGGGAGGAATGAGGCGAGAGGGAAAAAGGACAAGGATTATGATAAGAATGATAATGACAGTGATTATTATAGTAATGATAATCATAATAATAATAGTATTAATAATAATGATAACATAATCATAGTGATGATAACGCTGATAATGCTAATGATGTTAATGCTAATGGTAATAATAGAAATGATAATCACAATGACGATAGTAGTTGCCATAGCAATGATAATAATATCAACAATGATAACAATAATGGTAATGATAACACTAAAAATAATGATAATGTAATGGTAACAATAACAATGATAAAAAATAATAGTAATGATAATAATAACAATGACAATAATGATGATCATATAACTAGTAATGAAAACGATAATAATAATAACAACAACAATAATAATGATAATAATAATGACAGTAATAATAATAATTTTAATGATAATGATAATAATGATAATGACAATAATGATAATGACAATAATGATAATGAATATGATAATTACAATAATTATGATAATGATAATGTCAGTGATAATGATAATTGATAATATCCATTATAATGAAAATGATAAATAGAAATTTAGCAAACGATAGTCATTCCGATGCCCCGCCATCGCCTGCAACCCATGAATCAGAACGGAAATGCTCCTCTGTCCTGCAAATACTAGGAAATGCCATCAACAAGATTACACTCACAAAACAGGTGAGGTCATGGCAGCTAAATGAAGTTCCCGAAGCAGAATCCGTACAACGTCCGCCTTGCTTTCAGGCGCTTTTCAGAATCACCTGAAGTTCTGACGTGAAGCCGAATTAAGCGATGATTTCGTGTCTGTCAGGATCGTTGGCGCTTGAGGTTCACAGACGCTGCTGTGCTTGTGCCTCATGCCTCATTCTTATATAAATAAATAAATATATATATATATATATAAACATACATACATATATATATATATATATTCATAATTATATACATACAAACATATACATATATATATATATATATATATATATATATATATATATATATATATATATATATATATATATATATATATATATATATAATATATATATATATATATATATATATATATATATATATATATATATGCATATATATATATATACATACACACAGATATATATATGTATATATATGCATACAGAGAGAGAGAGAGAGAGAGAGAGAGAGAGAGAGAGAGAGAGAGAGAGAGAGAGAGAGAGAGAGAGAGAGAGAGAGAGAGAGAGAGAGAAGAGAGAGAGAGAGAGACATATAGCAACCATTCCTGTCCCCCGTCGACCGCAGGATCTCCACAGCCCTCCGTCCCGTGCTCAAAGCCTGATTATTTAGGAATTCCTGCGTGCCTTCCCCTTCCTCTCTGACTCGCCTCATTTCCTGTGGGATGTTGCTTTCCGATCGGATTGTCTCTCGCGGTGTGTCCCAGGGACTGTCATTGGCGCATTGCTCGAGTGAGACCCTGCTTGCTCCAAGAAAAGCAAATCTTCATTACTCGGTAATTTGTCTGTCCACGTCCCAGACTGCCATCAGTATGTGAGGATAGACCGCACGTTTCATGTCTGTTTGTAAGGGTGCCTGGTGTTCCCTTAAATGTCTTCTGCCTCGGTAATTCGTGTTTTGATTTTTATGATATTTCTGCGACCTTGGGTCATTATGCTGTTAAGATAGCTGATCTTTTTTCTACTCGCTGAAGTTCTTGCATTTTGGTGGCATCTTGTCCTTGCAGAATACCATGATTTTTGTTTTCTTCTCAGTAATGTGAAATTTAGATAATATGGAAAAAGTATGAATATGAATGAAAATGTATTTTTCACGATGAAATCGAAACCGATCAAATCCCTCCCTTGTGCTGTGGGTAATGTATAGTGCCATTCAAGTTTATTTGTACAATAGTGATGGTCATAGTTATGCTAATGATAATGATGATGATAATGGTAAAAATAACAATGATAATGATAATAATAATGATAATAACAATAATGATAATGATAAAAAATAATGATGATGATGATAATAATGATGATGATGATGATAATAATAATAATGATAATAATAATAATAATGATAATGATAATAATGATAATAATAATAATAATGATAATAATGATGATAATGATGATAATGATAATGATAATAATAATAATAATAATAATAATAATAATAATAATAATAATAATAATAATAATAATAATAATAATAATAATGATAATATTGATAATAATAAGAATTGTAACAATGATGGTAATAATAATAATGATAGAAATAATAATGATAGTAATAATAATTATAATGCTAATAAGAATAACAATAAGAGTAAAATAATATTCATGATAAAGATGATATTGATAGTAATGATAACAACGATAATGATACTGAAACTGATAATGGTAATAATAATGATGATAATAAGCATTATAATATTAACAGAGATGATCATAATGATGGCAATAATGATAGTGATAATAACAATGATAATAATAACAATAATAATAATAATAGTAATAATAATAGTAGTAGTAGTAACAATAATTGATAAAGATAATGATAATGGTAATGATACTACTACTACTAATAATAATAATGATAATAATAATAATAATAATAATAATGATAATTGTAAAAATGATAATGATAATAATAATAATGATAATTGTAATGATGATAATAATGAGGATAATGGTAATTATGAAAGTGATAACAATAACAATGATAATAAGAAAAATAAGAAATGTGATAGCAATTATGACGATAAAAAGGATGATGATAATGATACTAATGATAACAATAACAATGATTGTAGCGATAATAATGATAGTAATGATGATAATAATAACAATAATGATAATACTACATATGATAATGATAATAATAATAATGCGAATAATAATAATAATGATGATGATGATGATGATGATGATGATGATGATGATGATGATGGCGATAATAATAATAATAATAATAATAATAATAATAATAATAATAATAATAATAATAATAATAATAATAATAATAATAATAATGATAATAATGATAATAAAATCAGTGATAATAATAGTGATAATAATAATGATAATAATAATAATAATAATAATAATAATAATAATAATAATAATAATAATAATAATAATAATAATAATAATAATAATAATAATAATAATAATAATAATAATAATGATAATTGTAATCATAATGATAATAATGTTTATAGTACTACTACTGCTACTACTACTTCTACTACTAATGATAAGAATGATAGTAATGATAATGATGATAATAATGATAATGATAGTAATGGTAATAACAATAATATAAATAAATAATAATGATGCTAGTGGTGATGATAATAACAATGATTATACTAACAGTAATGGTAAAGGGATCTATGATATTAACAAGTGAAATAATGATTATGAAAATTACGATAATAACAACAATGGTAATTTCTAAAATGTAATCTGTTTTGTTTAGTCCTACCGTTAAATAGAATGAAGCAGATTTTGTTAGCCATCGTTTTCTACTTGCCGGGAGTGTTTTCTAATTCTACCGATTTGAAGTGACACATTAAGACTGCAATTTTATAACTAAATTTCTATTTCGTATATTAATAAGATACATACAATCGCACGAGAGAATTAATAGATTTATATTTTTCTTTGGTTTAAGTCTACGGTATTAGGAAATGATTTGATATTTAAATTTTGACAAAATTAGAAAGAATCATTTTTCCGTGTTGGTATTTTTGGTGTTGGTGGAAGAATTGCGTGGAGGTGTTGGGTGCAGGTTGAATTGGCCTTTTCCACGGTTTGAGATTACAGTGGCGACTAGGGCCTTCAGAGGATTGTTGTCAATAATGGCTTCCCCAGAAGTACTTAGCAGAATGGAACAGAGAGCCATTCAAGCTGAGCAAATGATTGATTTGCTTACAAAGCAGGTATGGTAACATAAACCTTTCACCTTTTTGGTTCTATTAAATAGCATACATTCGTGGACAGCTATGTGCTTATCCAGTTGCCTTTTATTGTTTCTTTTTTCTCTCATAACATTTCCAGGACATTAAAAGCAACTTTCGACGGACATAATTGTCGCCGGTGGGGCGAGATGAAGCGCACAGCGTGATACACTTCATTGGTCTTATTTTGATGTGCGTCAACATAGAATTTCAGATTTCTTACTTTGATAATGTCGACCAACAGTTAAATCCCAGGAGTTCAGGATTTCGAAAACGTAGAAAGCCCCAGAATTGTAGTAGGCGTACTGCTATGTTCTCAAAATTTTCTCGTCATTTTGCATGCCCAAAATCTTGATTTTACCACACAGGGCATATCTTAGGTGACATCACGGACTTGTTAAAAGAGAGAATTGGAGACAGACTCTTTATTATACTCATTGATGGATGACAGATACAAATGTAGAAAGAAATAGGTACCTGACACCCGGCGCCAGTGGGTTAAAAATTCAAGCTGTTGGTGGGTGCTGTGGACTTTGTCGCTATAGTGATATGCAATGGATACTTTTGTCATTTTCTGGTAGTTATGAAAAGCCAAAATATACCTTAACCCATTGGCGCCGGGTGTCACATACGTACATGCCATGGCTGTTGTGGACCAAACGCCGGGGGCATCATGCCATGCCCATTCCCGCGCTACTGGCTCATCGGACGGAGGTTGTTTTTCTCCATTAGTAGCGGCTTCATTTATATGGTAAAGCTTTTAGGCAATGGCACCTAAAGTGAAGGTAAACCTTCAAAATTTTAATATTTTTATAAATTTTAGCAAAATAAAAGTTTTTAGGTTCTATATGTTGCTCGCAAACTACCGATCGAGCCGTGCGCAAACAGGGGAAACTGCCAGTGCGCGCCATAAAGCCAGTGCATACGTAAACTTGACAAAATTTTTACCCGTCGCTGATGGGTTAAGTAGCTAATGATGTAATGTAGATGAATGTTTATTGGCAGATTGTGTACATGAGAATATAGTAAAAAGTGAATATATTACCTCTCCGATTGGGATTCGATCCCTCACCGCCTTTGCAAGAGATTGCAAGACGGTCACGTTATACTACACCACCCCCCACTCTAAAAGGAGTATGCAACCAGGTGCCACCTAGTGCCATTTACATTACCTAACTACGAATACACGAGTAAGTATAGTGAGATTTTACACACACTCCCTGTGGGCATTCGGGACTTATGGAAAGAGCAAATCAAACCCCAAATCAGATAACTTGATGTGTATTCAAATGAAAGATGGAATAATGCAATACCGCATTTTATATCATGAAAGTATTGCCTCGCTGATTGGGACGCATTTTATATCATGAATGTATTTCCTCTCTGATCGGGATTCGATCCCTCACCGCCGTTGCAAGAAATTGCAAGACGTTCACTCAATCCACTATACCACCACCCACTCTAAAAGGAGCATGCAACCAGGCGCCACTTAGCGCCTTGGACATTACCTAACTACTCATACATGAGTAAGTATAGGGAGATTTTACACACACTCCCCATGGGCATTTGGGACTTATGGAAAAAAATAACAGTGAAATAAAAATAACAGTGTCACTATTGATAGCATTGGTAAAAAAAACTGTTTTCCCACTTTTTTAAGGAAAAGTGAGGTTGCAAGATCTACTAATTGACTCCTTTGTGGCTGAGCATTGGCAGAGCCATCTATGTGTAAAAACATTTAACCAAGCATTGCCAAAAGGAATGCACCATTTTCCTGTCGACATTGGGTTAATTGAATATGCCACCTATTCAGTATGCTAATTGAAGGAAGAGTCAGAAGAAATTGATAATGATTGGAGATGCATCAGTAGATAAGCCTGAACAGGTTGGAAATTTTGCTGATACCAGAAATTTAATCTCTTAAGAGATTGTATCACATGGACAGATATGTATGTTTTTTTTATGTGTATGTTATCTGTATTTCTAAAAATCATTATAATATTCATTTTTTAGCTTTCCCCTTTTATCAGTTAATTGAAGAAGCTAATTATCCAGTATGTTAATTGTTCATATTGGTAAAAGTTATTCAGCCAGCAGTTTGTTATCAGCTTAAAGCAGATGAGGAATGTTGGTTTCCTTGAATTGAGAATCTTGGGTATTGATTCTTTTATAAGATTTAATTCATACAGAACATTAGTCACAGTATACTGTATATATTTTGATTTGGTTTGCTGAGATATGGAGTAAATAAAATTTCTGGGGTACTTTAGATCTGTTTAAGAAATGAGAGAATTGTAGTTTAAATTCCATGTTTTGAGTGTAGTTATGTTGCAAGCAAGTTTTTATGTGATCTTATTTTCCACAGATTAGTCAGCTTCAGATAGCTGTTGTTGATGCTCAGAAGGACCAACTGCGAAGGGAGAACCAACACCTGAGGCAGGAAGTTGACAGCCTAAAGAGACGCCTTGTTGATCTTGAAAAGAGCCAGGGAATCAAGCAAGTAAATATTCCCCCATTTTACTTAAGAATTGTTGCCAGATTGTCTTTGTTGTTAGTGGGGTTCTTTTGAATTTATTTTGCAATTCATATGTTTTCAATATTTGTTAGGAATTGACTACTAAGAGATATTTCAGCTCAAGTAAGCAAATTAAGCTGAGTAATGCTCAAGTTTCAGCCATGGTCAGCAGGAAGAATAATTTTGATTATGCAAAAATCTTTAATTTACATACCAGAAAATGTGTCTTATGCTAGTATGCCATAGTTACTGAAGCAACGGTCATGATTTTCTTGTCTGTTCTGGGGTCCCTAGATATCCAAGCTGAGTGGATGTTAGCTACAGAGTGGAATTGGTCACTACATAGTTTTCTTCTGTAGAGAAACATCATCCCAAAAAACACAAGGTGTCTACAATATCCTCATGGTTGAACTACGCATCAAAGATAGTTGTAAATTCTATGAATATCTTCACATTTCATTTGAAAAAATTTAGGGAAGAAGTTATTAAACTAAAATTCACCCAATTTATTAATTATCATACATCATACAACAGTGCCCTATATTTTAACAGAAATTAAAAATCTGACAGTATTTTTTCCACTATCATATACCGCTGTTAGTGTAGTCAGTAATTTAAGCCAGATGTAATTATGGACTGATAAAAAACAAAAGTTGGGAGAAAGTAAATAGTATAACTGAAGGTGAGTAAAATGTTAATACTTGTTGATCATGACACAGCTTTGCCAGCTTTACGATTGCACCTCATATAAAGCTAAATTTCTGGTTGATTTCATCCATTATTGTTGTTTTTTACTTTCTGATATTTGTATATGGTATATGGTATTCCATAATTGTTCTGTGGCTCTGACTTTGTCCAACAGGGGGTAAATAATGTCGGAGATGAGCTCCATGTCTTTAGTGTTTACCTTTCTTGATCAAATGAATGTTTGTCTGAATAATTTTTAATATTTTAGTGAGGCATCATTGGTGGCTGTAATATATAATACTTATTTCTACAATACAATTTTACCTAATATGATTAGATAATCATCATTTAGACAATCAAGTAATAAGCTTCCTAGCAATTAGACTACAGTTTTTGTTTCAGCATTATCTTTCCCCCTCTAGCTGATGTGAATGACCAACACAGTGATGCCACTCTAGGCAGTGATTTTCATGTTGGTTCCCTTCACATCTGGGGAAATATCCCACTCTGTAAAGGAATCCTTGGACAGAATAGACTAGTGTGATTACCTCATGAATACTCGAGTGCCAGAGTTGAAATTACTCCATGTACTAAGGTAAAAATGCCATAGTAAGGGAGGACTGGGTTGGAGAAGCTACTCAGATGCACAGGAGAAGGCACACTAGGGTGGGAGGTAGCATTAGGAAAGCTTTCTTTGGTCTAGGAATAAAATGTGTAGCAGTACCAAATATACTAGTTTACACTCAGTACTCCATTCACACTGTTGATACTCTATTGAGACAATTCACCTGGCTGTGGCCCACAACGGAATCGGAGTGCAATCTCGAAACCAATGTCACACTGATAGGACGCCCGGCAATGTTCATTTTTCCGGGTGTCTCATATGTGGGACCCGTTGTAAATGGGTTATGTATTTCTGAAGTGAAAGAGTTGTAATCTACAAGGATTTCCCCATTTTCAGTATTATGACTTCACAAATAAAACTACTCCCAGTTCTGAGGCCATTGCAGAAGTACAACCTGCAGCCAACACATCTGCTCCACCTCCCACAGTAGCAGATAAACCTCAGCAAGAAAAACCACAGAAGGTAAGCATCTTGGTTTTCTGTGCTATGAATTGCTGAATCCTTTGCCTTTAGCTGACTGATGTTATGTCATCCCTGGAATGACCAGTTTAACTTTATTGTTATTTTTCTTTAGGCTAAAGAATTTTTTTCAGGGAACTTGCTTTATAGAGAATTCTGTTGATGAATATGCCCATTTCATGAATAGGATACAGTGGTTTAGAGTTATATATGAAACACCCAAGTGATTCTAATGTGTTCTAAATGAACCTAAATGATTTCATAAAGGAGTAATATGAAGTAGATAGAAAGTAGAAATTATTTTTTTCTTTTCATTAACTATCTCACATACATTCTTTTCATTGTCTGCCAGTATTATTTTCTGTCTCTTAATAGTATGCTTCGAGAAATACAAGTGTAAGAAGGTTAATAGAAAATTTTGTTAGTTATTGTTTACCGTGGTTCTTTACCTTTGGGGAAAATGGAAAACATATTATACTTTGGAAAAAAATGTGTAATTATGTTCAGAAATTTTGATTGCATATGTCAGAAAAGGTGTTTTAAGTTCCACACTGACCATCTATATACTGATATAAAATATACCTATAGTATGTTAGGATCACTATTATGAATTATTTTTCCCATTGCAACTCTTCACTATCATTTTGTTTAGTGGAGAACCAGCAAAATATATACCACATTTTAAAAAATTTCCCATCTGCTTACCTCAGAGTTCCTTATGAATAATCATATTAGAATGGGAATTCACCAGATTGTAAACCTATCCTTGACAAATGAAACAAACCTGGGAATGATGAGCCATGTGGTTGGCATGGCTGTAAGCTTACACAGGAATGATAACCTTGTCATTCTTATGATTAGGTCTTGTTGTTTCCAACAATACAAGTGGATGTTTTCACTTATTTAGTGGCCCATTAATTTGAATCACAAAATGTCTTTTTCATTTGAAATGAGGCTATGAAGGGAGGAAACACCAGGTAAATATGAGTGGGGTTTCATGTCATGGCTGACTTAGTTGTGGCTCCAGGTGGTGTGTCGTTTGCAATGTGGTTGACTTCGATGCGGCTCTGGGTTGACTGGTCATTCATGTCATGTTATGATGATGTGGACATTACACTTTATGCTGTTCTGTATAAGTAACCCTCATGCCCACACTATATGCCCTAGGGCATTGCCTCAGGGAGAAAGGGAAGTGTAATGCTATGGTTGGCTACTGTTTTGTATGAAGGGCAAATTTTAGCACATGAATTATTCCCCTACTATGCCTAGAAGATGTCATGCACCAAAACGTGGCACTCTCTTGCTGTTGATGTGAACCTGTAAGTAACCTTCACTCTTGTTTACGAGATCAGTCTCATGTCAACTACTCACATTGTCTTTTAGTGTTCAGCCAATGAGACTGTCTTGAAACATGAAGCACAGAAGGGAAGTACTGAAGCTGTGGTGGCAGCAGCCATGTATATCACTACATGTAATCTTGTATTAATATGAGATGTAAAAATGAGTGATTTTTTAGTTTCTGGGTGGCTACAAAATCGGCGCCCTGGTTGGCCCGGACTCTGCCTGCACCCCGACCATGGCCTGCTGCTGAGTCGGAGCGCGAGCCCCGATACAGCATCACGCCGGTGGGACGCCTGGCAATTTTTTTTTATAGGTGTCTCGTATGTGGGACACCTGTCGTAAATGGGTTAATAAAGCCATGTTCAACTTTGTACAAAGTGAGTACCATACCTTATTTATTGAAATGGTCTTTAATGTACATAATCAGGCTACTTCAGGTGCAATCTAGCAACTAAAATGCAGATCATGCAACTATGAATAAGCAAAAATATTAAAATTATATTTTGCTACAAGTAATATAAAAATAATAACATCACTCTGGTGTGGTGCGGTGAGTGATATGCACCAGGGTCCTGGAGGTAAGCTCAGTTGGCTTTGCACACTACCCGGAGTTAAGATCAAATGAACCCTATATTCTCCTGTAGGCAATAGGTTAACCCCAAGCCGCCGGGCATGGCATGTACATACATGCTATTGCCCATTGTGCGTGTTGAATTTAGTAAATGTTTTTTCATATAGATGGCTCCACAAGTACTGTCACCAATGAGCCATTTATGTGAACTACCTGTCTAACCTGTTTATCCTTTTCCTTGATATTTGATAATATTTTCTAATTTTCAGTATTGCTGTTAGTAATGTCAGTAATAGTATAGTAATCATAATGTTTATAACAAAAATAAGTGTCAATATTGAAAGCATAACTAAAGAAAAATAAGTGTTTTCCTGCATTTTCAAGGAAAAGTGAGGTCGCAAGATCTACTAATTGACTCCTTTGTAGCTAAGCATTGGCAGAGCCATCTATGTGTAGATACATTTTACCAAGCATTGCCAAAGGGAATACATTATTTTTCTGTCGACATTGTGTTAAAGACCTTGTTGGTGGAGGGAGTTGGTACAAGGGTTCTGAGTAACCCCATCTTTTGGAATAAACAGATTTATGCACTTTTTGATGCTGTCTGCCCTGTTGAGCATAGGAAATGGTTAAGCATAATGAATTAAACATGAAATGTATAAGACATACTCTGTGATATAGAAATGTATTCCTTGCACTGTGAAAGCATATCAGGAACCTTTAACTATTTAGGCTGGTTTTCTTGGCCTGAATTAAATTCACACATCTGTTCAGACAGAAATGGCTGTTTGTAAATAACCATGAATAGGTAACATTATGTCTCTCAGCCTTAGATATTTGAAAATGAACAACTTTGGCTAATTAACACAATCATGGAAATGTTTTTTCTTAGCATAAGGTATAAATACTTAGTTTATGCACTTGTTAGCAATATAATTCTAATTGAGAATACCTGACCAATATAGGGAAAGTGAAATATTTAATGGTATTTTATATAGTTTTATTGGAAATTTTATTTGAATTTTTCGCTTGGTGTCAGTAATGAACTGCCTCTGGGAGCCATGGGCATGATATTCCCTTGGTTAATCGCCTAGCCCTTACCCTGTATGGGGACCCTGAGGGTTAGACCATTTCCTTTCCCAATTTATTTCAGGCTCACTATGGTCAATAATGAAGATCTTTTAGCCTTATTAGAGGCATTAAGGCTTGCTCCTTCATAAACTAGCCTATCTAAATTTGATTTCATGGGTTTCCTAAACCCCTACCTCTTCAACCATGACTCTGACTACTGTTACTAATACTCCCTCCTCATGTTTACTGACAACTCTATCCATTCTGAACCACACAATCAGGTCATTACTCAATCTTCAGAAAGTACCCTTTCCTCTCTCCCAACATTGCCCACTCCATCTGCTACTGCACAATCCTTTTCATTGTCTACCCCCTCCTCTCTTCATCCATATTGTCCTCCCCCACAGTACTACTTTACTCCTCACCACCCCATCTCCCCGCCCTCTTCCTTCCACTACTTCTACCTGTACAAACCTTTTGATTACTCTCTTCAGCTCAGTCAAATGGGATCGATTCCTTTTGATTCCCCCTACAGCCCCTTACTTAGACAGAACCCTTCTCTTCTAACAATGTCTCCAAAAACAAGTAGGCAAAGTTTCCTTTTGCAGTTGTTCTGATCGTCCATGCCTTGTCACAGCTATATCTGAATCCAAGCTTGTGCGCTATCTACCCTGACTGACCTCACTGGCAAACCTATTCCTGCTGAACCTCACTCCTCTCTGTTTCTGTTCACCCAACTGATTGTCCTATGTATGACAAGAACTGGTCAGACTGTGAAAACGACCTACTTGCCTGACTTGTTAATTGTGATGCAGTGACAGTACAGTGCTACACTATGCCTCCCAGAGGATAGTGCAAGTCTATCACCAATATTGCCAAGATTAGCTTCCATAGACATGACCACCTCCATGGAGTTTAAATTGGTGGAGTGTCCTGCCCTGTACAACCATATGGACCCCTTCCTTGTCAGTGTCAGAAATGTTGGTGTTTTGGCTACCCAGCCAAATACTATCACTCCACAGCCTGCTGCCCACTATGTGCCTAACATATTCATGACTTCAAATTGTCCTGCTCAGTCACATATGTGTGCCAATTGCAGTGACTCCGAAAATATATTTTATAGGATCTGCCCTGCCTATAAGCTCAAGTGAGGTAGCAGTTCTCAGATTCAAACTAAGCCTCACTCTATGCAAGGCCAGACAGGAAGCACAATGATGAGGTTTGTCTCTCTCTTCCTGTTCCAAAACTGTCCTTTGCTCTCCTCCTGTTCCATCTTCTCAATATGCTCTGCTCCCCTCTCCCCCAGTTAAATTCATTTTCCAGTCTAAATCCAGATGCTCCAATCTCTACCACTTCTCTGATGTTAATCTCTCCTCCTCACTTTACCTTTTGCATCAGACAACCTAAACATTCCACTCCATCTTTGCCTACCACATCCTCTCCTAAATCCTCCTCTTCCTCTGCTCCTTGAATATCTATCTCCCTTCTCCTTACAAGAGAATGTTTGCTTCTCAAACCTCCTCACCCAACTCCCGTCTAGAAAATCCAGAATCTCCTAGACATGACCCAAGAGAATGTTGACCTCTCTCATCCACCCTCCAATGCTTCTGTTCCTATTCCCTCTGCATTCAAAGTTTGCCGATATCCATTGTCCTCCCCCTCAAGTTCCCTCTATCTCTCTTCCTCCCACTTTTTCCCAACACACCCCATACTCTCCTTCTGTATGTGCACCATTACTTCTTTGTTCCCCATTATTCTTACCTCTCCCACCTGAATGCTCTCGTGAATCCCTTCTTTTGTAACAGTGTTCCCTCCCCTCCTGACATTCTTCCTGATATTTCACCACCTCCCCCAGTCCCCCTATCTCATTCCCAAGATTCTTCTCCTGCTACTTCTCTAACAGCCATCTCTACCTGTATTTCCTGTTGATTGTTTCATAATAGCTTTTTTGCCAGTTTTCCTCAAACAATATTCCTATTGCTTCCTCAGCCACACACTCCATTCCATTCAATTGTTCTATATCCTTAACCCTTTCTTTACTACTCTCTGATTCACTTCATTTGCACGCTCTCTTTACCCTTTTCTTTATCATACTATCCTATAACACTATAACCTCTGACATCTAATACATTTATTAGTTTCAATCATTAGCCATTAATCATTTATTATTTTGAAAAATATGGCAGGTGTGCAGAAGATCAAAATTATGGTAGATATATAAGAACAGTATAAAGGAAACTGGGATTTATGATACTTAATTTTTTTGCTTGTGTGCAGTTCAGACCAAAACTACTCTTAATTGTCTTTGATAAATCTTTAGGAAAAGAAGGAGAAGAAAAAGGCAGAAGGTGAAAAGAAAGGAGGTGGAGGAAAGAAGCCAGAGGAAGAAGCAGCTGTTGATGTTTCTCGCCTTGATTTTCGAGTTGGGAGGATTGTTACAGCAAAGAAACATCCCGATGCTGATTCTCTCTATGTTGAAGAGGTATCTGATTTTGTCCCCCCACCTTCAAGATATAATTTTTTTCACAGCCTGTATGCTTGTCCATATTTGATTTTACAAAAATAAAATGAGATCTACACAGACATATGCTTGCACACACTTTGGCATAATGAACAAACACATGCTTATCCAGAAATACAATAACATGAGAAATAAAGTATATTTAGTACTTAGCAAGAAATGATTACAAGTATATTGATAGTATTTGAGTTATATTATTCACACTCATTGAAGTTTCTGCTTCCAGGTTGATATTGCAGAAGGGAAGTTCCGTACAGTTGTCTCAGGGCTTGTGCGGTTTATACCAGAAGCAGAAATGCAGAATCGCATGGTAGTATTATTGTGTAATCTAAAACCAGCCAAAATGCGGGGTGTTTTATCTGAGGCAATGGTTATGTGTGCCTCAACCCCTGAGAAGGTAAGGGTCAGTTAATAGATTTACTCTTCACTTAGCACATGAAATATAATGTCAGTTTTTCCATTGATTGTATTTTTAGCATGAAGAAAGATCAATTTTTGTTTCATGAGGATAGCACATTAGTTGGAGTTGAAGTAGTTTGCTTCAAATCTGATATGAAAGTCAAGCCAAAATGTTCTTTATAAACTTCTAAAGCTGAAATTCTGCTAACCTTATCTGACTGTGGAGCCAGACACTAGATGGGGATTATTCCCAGTTTGGCCTAGCCTTGTCACTCTGAGGAACTAAGGAAGCAGGACCACTGGCATTCTCTGCCCAGATCCTGCTAATGTTTTTGCTTGCAATGATGACCTCATGTCTGTGTTTGTTGTGGAACTTCAAAGATATAATTATGTAGTTATAAAACCATTAAAGACTATTGAGCCAGCTTGTATGACCAAAATGGCTGGCTGAGACATCCACAGGAGGAGCTCTGGGGTTAGGGCTATTGGAAATTAAGCTTCAGAATTACTTATTTTTTTATTCTTGCCTTAGCCTATTGGACCTGAATGACGTTAGGGCACATCATGGAAAAAGTTGATCAAGGGGTAGGTGATGTGAACATGCTGTCATCTGGCAAATTGGCCGTGGTCTGGGTGACACGAACTTACTGTCATGAATGAAGACCAAGGTGCCAGAAAAGACTTGCCACAAGTGCACAAACCTCTTGGAGTGTGATTTGCCTCATTTAGTGCTTAGAAGGAGGCTTTAGCATTATTCCCATTGATAAACGAATGTGGAATGTAATGTGCGTAAGCAGTGACTGGAAGAGCACCGGCTCCAGAGAGAACGCCATTTCCATGCTGCGCACCATATTCCTGGCGACTGTGACCAGCGGTGCAGGTTGTATTATGTAAGAGTGAAAATTACAAACAAATGAGATATATAACACAAATGACCAATTGCTCCATATTTTTTTTTGCTTTACATTGAGTTATTTACTGCATAGAGAGATGATATGGAGTCTGTACAAGGAAAATAAGCTATTATCATCTGGATAAAGCAAATCAAAAGAAATATGGACATTGAAAAATGGTGATACTGTTAAAAAAGTTTACTCAAAATAACTTTGCAAACAGGGAGGCACAGAGTCTTGTCACCACACAAGGGTGTTCATGTGTGCCTGGCCTAAATGCCCCATGCCTGGGATGTTGACTACTTACATCACCCATTGCCTGTGTTTTCAGCACTGTGATGTGCGTGATGCAACCGGATCCAGTGGGTTAAAAATATTATGTATAAATTGTGTTGTCTATTTATTTGTTTTTTATTTATTTATTTTTAAAATTCTTTAAATTTGATTTATTTTTCTTTTGCCACAGGTTGAGATACTTGCTCCACCGGAAGGAAGTCAGCCTGGTGACCTTGTAGAATTTGAGGGTTACACCCGCAATCCAGATGCCGTCCTCAACCCCAAAAAGAAGATATTTGAAACTTGTGCACCTGATCTCAAGACTGATCAAAACAAAGTCGCAGTGTTTAAGGGAGTTCCATTTACAGTGCCTGGTAAAGGTGTTGTTGTTGCACAGACTCTAGCTAATGTCCAGGTTAAGTAATGATAACCATGTTGCCTATTAAATCTTACAGTGCACATATGTATTTTTTTCTATCCATTGCTGGGGTACAAGCTTTTTTGTAGAGGTAAATTTTCAATATCAGATTTTGGGTGCAAAGATAGTACAACAAAATCTTTTTACTTGATGCATTTGATACACAAACATATTCAAGACAGGCAGGGGGTATTGGGTCAGTTGCTCTGAGATTTTTCGCTGATGTATTTGTTGACAGTAAAATTATCTCTTCAAGATGTTTATTATTCACCTCAATTTTTCTTATGGTTATAAATATAATAAAGAAACATTTATTAGGAAGAAGTGATAAGTTGAGAAGGTTAATAAAGGAAAAAGAAAAAAAGAATTAAATAAATTCATGAGTGCAAGATATGTCCATTTATTTTAGTAGCCTTGATTCCTCACATAGCAACATATACATTTAGTTTTATAGTCATACTCATAGATATGCAATATCTTCGTTGATATACATAACATTCATGTAAATGATGTAACATATTTCTTCAAGAAAAGTATGTAACAAAACTTGTAGTATGTATGATTATATACAGAAGTAGATAGTGGTAAAATACATATAAAGACTTTTGAGCACATTTTAAGTATTTTCTAAAATTAAGGTTACAGAAAAAAGAATTTACTTAGAAGTAATACATGTATCATATATATTATAACCAATACTAGAAAAAAAGAATGGTGCACAGTTACCAACATGAGCATGATAATCTTTTTTTTGCGATACTTATTGATGCATTAGTAAAAGACGCCCAGTACAAACATTTCACATTCACAAATCTTTGTTTTAACACAGTAGAAGACCCTAACAAGAAAAACATCTATTTCACTTTAGGTCACAGAAAAAAAAAATCAATACAGATTGATTGCATTTGACTCATTTAAAGTTGAATATGGGGTCTTCTGACAAGACCAGAAATGAGAAACAAAGGTGCTTTTTTGAAAGATTATTTACATCTCACATGTATTACACACCTAATTTCCAGTAGTTTATTGTCTAGTAGGTACGAAGAATGGATTATGTTAGCAGGCAGTGTTGTATGGTCTGTTCAAAGAAATACAGTAAAATGTGGGGACCATCCATTCATCATAGAGACTTAATTACTATGGAACTTTCCATATACATTTACACATCAGAAGTTTGCTTGTAGTCATTGTACAGTGTCCTAACTTTAGGTTTTGGCATTGGGGTGAGATTAAATGAGAGCCCTTTGCTTGGCACTGTCCCAAATTATGAAGGTCTTTCTATTTATTTATACATTTCCAAGAGTTCAAATCAGTATGAAGGCAGAAATATTAAAGGTCATATCAATTATGAAAGTAAATTTAGGAAGAGTTGAATCTGAAGAAGAAAATAAATGGCCTTTTACTGAGTAAGTTTAGAATATTGTGATACCTTAATAGGCTTGCTCATCTATGAGATAGATTTGAATCTTAAAGCCAAAAAAAGTTTTGTTTTAATCATCAGAATTTGCAACAGTAGGGTTTGAAAGGGTTATGTAGTCCATTCTTTTGGCAGAATTTTTACTCTTTTGATTTTATATCAAGAACATTTTTGTGATGTGAAAGCTCTGAACTTGTAATCTTTTCAAATATCAGAAAAATATGTGTGATGCGTTAGTGCTGTCAAGTGGAGATTCTTTTATGTTTTGCCAATTGCAAAACAAAAAAGTATGATACAACATTACAATTTCTTTCTTCAGTAGTAAAGTACATTATGATAACATAATGCAGAGATGACAGCAGCTATTGGTATTTTTTTTTAATTTTAGCTCAATGAAAGAAGAATTAAAAATGTGCCTGGATGAAAGTTGAGCATAGCACATCCTTGTTATATACAATGCATTTCTAACTTGAATAAATCAGACAATGTTACAGTATCAATGTCTTTTTTCTTGTATGGTAGGCATGAAGAAATACTGGTAATGCTGACAATTTGAAATACTGTATTAAACATGTTTAGGCAAAGGTCTCTGAATATAAGGCTATAAACTCTATATTTCTTAGGTATCTCTGAGAAAGAATAAAACAATCTTATATGCTAGTTGCCTTCTAGTTTATGTAGAAAGAGGTGCTGCATATTGACTTTATTGTAAACTAATACTGTATAATGACTAGAAAGATCACTTTCTTGAAGAAAGAATACTTATATATACCTAAAAGAAAATTTACTATGTATTAAGATTTCTGTTTTTTATGTACTGATATTATGAAACATTATGTGATGAGTGAAGGAAGGGAGATAAAGAATGGAAAGATTTACAAATATTCCAAATTACTGAATTGTTGCCCATAGATAGCCTTTCTTTTTCAGAGTAGGAGGCCTTGAAATACACTAAGTGATGCAAAGGCCACAGGGAGGATGCCATTTATGAAAGAGAAGAGAAGGGGGTGCTAATTAAGATCCTTGGAAGCAGTAAAAGTTTTGAATTCTTTATACACTCACTTTAAAATATTTATAATTGCTATTTTCTTTCACGCTCTCTCTTTTAAGCCAGTCAATCTGTGTAGATAAATATGCAGTTACATTTACATTAGCACACATACATTTCTTAAACACAGCATACTGGAAATAACATGAGAGGAATGTATTACACATAATTTACTGAAAATATAAAATGATATTTTAATCTAGAAGTAATGTAGAATTTTACATTTGAGAAACACCTCCAAAAATATCTTAGGATATTATATTTGGTATAACTGTAGTTGAACAGACAGTGGACTGCTTGGTTGATGCTTTGGCACATGTCCTCCGAATTTCTGTGTCCACTCCATTTCTTATCTTTTCCGAATTTCTATATTTCCATTTTCTGGTCGAGCCTTAAGATTCCTGAAGAGCATGTCACATGTTATTCACTTTATATGATTTATGTTGGAAAATAAATATTGATGTTAGTTATGTAATATTTAGAATGTTTTCTTAGTAATGATCTTTGTCCGACAATTATGATAAATATCTACTTTAGGGTAATGGTTGATATCTGTCTGCATTCTTCGTTTCTTACTAAAGTAAGAAACGAAGAATGTAGACAGATATCAACCAACCTAAAATGGGAAAATAAGAAAAAATATTTGATTTCTTCCAGAAAATGTAATGCTCATTAGGGGTAAAAGCTTCAGCCATATTAGTTAGCCAATAAGGAAGTTATGGTCTGTTCGTGAAGACTGATGTACTACTTGTGGAGTAGTTTATATACTAGGATGCTTTCAGGACTTGAACAGTGTGAAATCTCTGTCAGGCTTTAGTTATCTGTTATACAGTGATATCGAAAAAATATAGACATGCTGTATTGTTACAGGCACTGGCATGATAAAAAAATAGTTATGTATCTTCGAGTTTTTATTTTTTGTTCATGTGTGTATAACTGGTGACTGAGTAGGTAGCAGATATTACCGTGACTGTATATGAGAGAAAGGTATGTAAAATGAAATCTCTGCTGTACGTATTCTAAACATACAGAGTGAATCTAAAATAAAAAAGTGAGGGTATGACAGAGTAAGGATTCGGAACAAGATATATTACAGAACAAGGTTAGGCCTGAGTACAAGGATGAAAAAGTAGGTCGATTTTGAAAGAACATCGGCAACATGCTGTCAAGCAGTATGCCCATGATTGCTGAAGATGCCAGGATGTAGCAAGAGCCAGGGAGTGTGCAGCAGATGCTTTGGGAATGTGGTCTCTAGTCATACCGGTGATCGGAGTGGTTCTTCCTCCTGCTGTGTCTCCTGGAGGACCGACGGGCAGAGGAGGGCTGCAGAGGCGTTGTCAGTTCTTCCAAGGGCACAAGCTCCAGCGACCCCGGTTCTTCCTTGGGCTCGGGTGTGCTACTGTCTCTCGGGCAAAGGGGTGTGTGCACTCCCCCGTCGCTCGAGTTCATGATCGCGTCGCCTCGCCCTGAAGCGGCGTTTTCTACGCCTGCGTCCAAGATCTTATGGGTGTAGTGGAGGGGCTCCGAGGCCCGTGGGAGGACTGATGTGTACACACAGATGGGCACCTTGGAGCTGAGAAGCCGCTGGTCGCTGGAGGGAGGCATATCGGTCACTTCGGTGTTTAGACGACTCCGGAAGGATGAGCACCACTTCCCTGGCAAGGGAGGAGAGGGTAGGGGAGGAGGTAAGGACATGTCTTATGAGGCACGGCTAAGGCTGGTTAGCGGGAAAAACAGTGACATTGGGGCTTTTTGCTATCCTAATCCAATAAAAGGATGGCTTCCTGACTTTTTCTTATTGTTATGATGAGTACTACTGCTACTGCTGCTGCTGCTGCCCCTGCTTTTACTACTATTACTACTACTACTACTACTACTACTACTACTACTACTAGTACTACTACCACTACTACTCATAATACTACTACTACTACTACTACTACTCATAATACTACTACAACTACTACTACTACAACTGCTACTACAACAACAGCAACAACAACAACTACAACTACAACAGCAACAACAACAACAACAACTACTACTGCTATCACTACTACTACTACAATAACAATTACTACTACTACAACAATAACAACTACTTCTACTACTACTACTACTACTGCAACTATTACCACTACTACTACAACTATTACTACTACAACTATTACAACTACTATAACAACAACAACAACAGCAACAACAACAACAACTACTACTACAACTGCTACTACCACTACTACTACTACTATTACTACCACTACAACTACTACTATTACTACTACACTTACTATTACTACTACTACTACTTTTACAACAACTATTACTACTACAGCTACTTTTACTTTTACTACTACCATCATCATCATTATCGTCTTTATGGTTGTTAATATTATTATTATCATTATTGTTATTGTTGCTGCTGTAGTTGTTATCAGTATTACAATTATTGTCATTATTATTATCATTAGTATCATTATTGTCATTATCATTAACATTTTCTTGATTTGATATTCGGTGGCAAAGAAAATTGTAAATCTAAGCTTAGGTAATTTCTCACACACACAGACACACACAAACACACGCACATGCACGGGAGACACCGACACAAACACACGCACAGGCACATGTACACAGACACAGACACCGACACACACACACACACATACACATACACACACACTCACTCACTCACTCACTCACTCACACACACACACACACACACACACACACACACACACACACACACACACACACACACACACACACACACACACACACACACACGCACGGGGGCACACGAACACATACAGCAACACAAAAACACACACAACCATACACGTAAGTGTGTGTTTTTATATGTTTGTACACCATCAGCCATTAACACTCATGTTCTAGGAAAGACGAAATAACATTTTCACAGGTGTTTAGACAGTGTGATTATAAGTGATTTAAAAAACAAACAAACATTATCCAGTATTTTGAATCGAACTCATGCTACAGACTTATTTCCCCCTGCCAGTCGCCATTGACTTCAAGTTTCAGCAGCAGCAGTGCCCTCGTCTTGTCCCTCCAAACACTGGTAAAGACACTCGATCAGCTGACCTGTGCGGTTCGACCTGCTCCGGTTGCTCTTGCCGTTCGTGGAGCTCCGCACGGAACGCCAAGCGTGTCCTGCACGGAGCCGCACGGGGGCCGTCGACAGCGTGTACAGCACTGGGTTGACGGCTGCGTTCAACGGCAGGACGAAGACGGCGATCCACGCAAAAACCTGGAAGTGGGGACTGGCATGAGGAAGGGGAGGTGAGAGAAAAGAGGAAGAGGGAGAGGGAGAGGTAGAGGGGAAGGGAGAGGAAGAGGGAGAGGGGAAAGGAAAGGGTAAAGGGGGAGGGGGACGGAGAATGAGAGAAGAGGGAGAGGGGAAAGGGGGAGGGAGACGGAGAATGAGAGGAGAGGGAGAGGGAGAGGAAGAGGGGGCGGGGAAGGGAGAGGGAGATGGATATGGAGACAGAGATGGTCTGAGAGTGGCCAGACGTTCCTGGAGGTCACGCTCTTTGCCACCAATCACGGCGGCGTGTTGAGCCACACTCTTGAACTCTGCATTGTTACATTTTTCTCCAAGGAAATCTGTCGCTCAAGACTGTCATTGCGGACTGCGACATCTTTTACTTCCTTGCAGTTATGCACAATGTTTATCCATCGTAGATTTTCACCTCTTGCTATCTTGAGTCAATTGCAACTCAAGCAAGTCCTTGCGGACTACTGCAAATGGCTGCCTAGGCATGTTCCTCTGACTTTTCTTTGGCAGTGCATTATTGAAAAATTAAATAAAACATTTAAAATTCATGCAAATAATTGAAATAACACTCTCATTGCAATGTGATATATTTTGATTATATTTACGGCCCTTGTCCCACAACCCCCCTCCATTTGCCCTCCTGTCTCTCTGCGTCTCTGCCCTCGGTGTACTTCTTTCGGAGAACGGCTGCGCGGCTGCACCGTCGAGGATGGCGGTTAAGCGGGAGCCAAGTGACCTGAGAGTGGCCAGACGTTCCTGGAGGTCACGCCCTCTGCTGCCAACCACGGCGACTCCCTTCACCAGCACGAGACACAACCTTCGTCCTCGCGACCAGCCTCCACAACCGACATCTCCTCAATAAAGGAATAGAACCAGAACATGTGTCTCCACACACCAAGTCGGGGACTACAAAACCCCTGAAATCATGGTAGCAGCGAGGTGTCAAAAATTACAAAAGTAGTAATAGCAGAGAAAGAAAGAAAGAGAGAAAGAGAAAGAGAAAGAGAGAGAGAGAGAGAGTGAGAGTGAGAGTGAGAGTGAGAGTGAAAGAGTGAGAGAGTGAGAGAGGAAGAGAGGAGAGGGGAGAGAGGAGAGAGAGAGAGAGAGAGAGAGAGAGAGAGAGAGAGAGAGAGAGAGAGGAGAGAGAGAGAGAGAGAGAGAGAGAGAGAGAGAGAGAGAGAGAGAGAGAGAGAGAGAGAGAGTGAGAGAGTGAGAGAGTGAGAGAGTGAGTGAGTGAGAGTGAAGAGAGAGAGAGAGAGAGAGAGAGAGAGAGAGAGAGAGAGAGAGAGAGAGAGAGAGAGAGGAGAGAGAGAGAAGAGATGAGAAGAGAGAGGAGAGAGAGAGAAGGGAGGAGAGAGAAAGAGA